GACAAATCAGTTTGATGTCAGAATATCATGACAAATCAGTTTGATGTCAGAATATGACAAATCATATTTGATGTCAGAATATCATGACAAATCAGTTTGATGTCAGAATATCATGACAAATCATATTTGGTGTCAGAATATCATAACAAATCAGTTTGATGTCAGAATATCATGAGAAATCATATTTGATGTCAGAATATCATGACAAATCAGTTTGATGTCAGAATATCATGACAAATCAGTTTGATGTCACAATATCATGACAAATCAGTTTGATGTCAGAATATCATGACAAATCAGTTTGATGTCACAATATCATGACAAATCAGGTTGGTGTCACAATATCATGACAAATCAGGTTGGTGTCACAATATCATGACAAATCAGTTTGATGTCACAATATCATGACAAATCAGTTTGGTGTCCACAATATCATGACAAATCAGTTTGGTGTCACAATATCATGACAAATCAGTTTGATGTCAGAATATCATGACAAATCTGTTTGGTGTCCACAATATCATGACAAATCAGTTTGGTGTCCACAATATCATGACAAATCAGTTTGGTGTCACAACATCATGACAAATAATTACAATGCATGACATCATAATTACAATGTATGACATCATTGGCTGAGCAATAACTTACCTGTCTGAGTGCTTCCTTAGATGCAAAGTATTTGGACCACCAATCAAGGGTACTCTCATCAAAATCATCATCTTCTTTCTTTTTCTTTTTCTTATTATCAGCATCCTTGTCTGTTTTAGTGTCTTTGCCCTGTTGATATATATGACACATGTAATGTTGTCATAATGTACATTACTGAACAGTGTTGCTGGGCTTGCTTGGTGTCTCTTCTGAATGTTGTATATGTTTTACTTCATTCCTCACTACACATTTACTGTTTTATAAAATATATAGGGGGGGGGGGGGGTGTACCAGTATGTCTTGTACTGGATTGCTAACATGTTACATTGGTAAACTATGTCAAAATGAAATTTAAGTTCTTTCCAATTCTGTGCAGTTAAACTGATTACAAGATTTATCTGTACATTTCCTTCCTATCCAATGTGACCTAATTGCTAGGGTAAAGAAGATGTAGAAATGTTGACACATGTTTAGAAAATCATGTGCTACACCCACTGTCAACCAAATTATGACAATTTTGACTGTTCAAAAGTTTATTTTTTTGGGTTAAAAAGTATAAACTTATTTCCAATCAAATTTGCCATGGACAAACGAAAAAAAAATGGAATTTTCATCGTGTCTGAACTCCTACTCCTGTAACCTAACAGGTGCATTGTTAATGTAACTATTACTGTAAACATATTTGCACATTATATTTATTGTAAGCCATATTATTAATTTAAAATAAAACTTATTTTCACTATGAAAACACCTGCAATGTATGTCATTCACATAAGTACATGTAATTCTAAAATAGACAAAATACAATACACAGCTTTATTATATCAGACATCATGCTGACATCATATATGGTAATTACATTTGCATATAGCCCATACTATATGCAAATGTAATCTTCATTTCATACACCATATATGGTAATAAAATTTGAATATACATTGTAGTATGGGATCTACATCTCATATCACCATATATGGGAATACATTTGCATATAGTATTGGATCTTCATTTCATACACCATATATGGTAATAAAATTTGAATATAGTATGGGATCTACATCTCATATCACCATTTATGGGAATTACAATTGCATATAGTAAGGAATCTTCATCTCATATCACTATATATGGGAATTACATTTGCATATAGTATGGGATCTTCATCTCATAACACCATATATGGTAATGAAATTTGCATATATTATGAGATCTACATCTCATATCACCAGATATGGTAATGAAATTTGCATATATTATGAGATCTACATCTCATATCACCAGATATGGTAATGAAATTTGCATATAGTATGGGATCAAACTGACCAAAATAATATTCTCTGCAATCTAGAAATGCATACAATATTCTGAAGAGACATTTCAAAAACAAATTTCAAGCCCTGTCCTACACTGGAGAATCAAAACATTTCAAACATTGAGGTGTTGTATAGACACTGTGTGAATAACAAGAACACATCATAATTTTTACAAGGCCACGAAAATAAAAATGTTTCTGGTCAATTCTTATTTTGAAATTGTCATTAAATTTGTGACTTTTCATGAAAATTGTTTTTTTTTCTTTCATATTTTCTGAAATTCTGACAAGAAAAAAAACACTTTGGCACACATGTTTTTAAACCACACACATTGACCAGAAACATAATTTTTTTTCTAGGCCTATAAGAGAAAACTGCGTGACCCAAGTGATAGCACAGAGAAGCATTAGAGAAAATATTTAATTAGTGATACATGTATGAATGTATTAATTAGTGACAAGTATTTAAGTTGAAATGTTAATTAAATTTTGTCTAGATGGAACAAGCTGACTGGACACTAACCACTGCAGAAAAATTGATCACAAATATGAATTTATGAGATCAGCTGATGTTTTTAAGAGAAAAAATGAGAATCATGCAATCATTCTAGACACCTTTAGAGCAGAAATTCCAGAAAAGTGGAAATTCTTCAAACCCACAGAATGTAATAAACATGCACCAATTTTGAAAACACTGTCAAATATGCAAATAGCTTGCAACAAACTTTCTAGTATTTTGCAACAATCCTCCTAATAGTTTTCAAGAAGCATTCTAATAGCTTTCAATAAGCATCCTAATATCTTGAATTAGGCAGAGGGTTCTCCGAATCCGTCTATTCACATAGTTCATACCCACCATAGACTGTAGGCATTAATCAGCGATTCGGCCAATGACAGAGAGATAGAATTTAGGTCAGGAGAAGCCCCATGACCCCAAGATTCCTTTTCCTTACGTCACGAACCACGTTACCTAGGCCATGTGGGACGCCATCATAGCCAGATAATCACTTCTGGTTCTTTTCTCTTCACACCGAGGACTAGGCCAATGCTACAGAAAGAGTGGGATGGTAGGGGGGGGGGGGCGAAGTCTATGGTGGGTATAAACTATGTGAATAGGCGGGTTTGAAGAACCCTCTGCCTAATTTCACTACAGTCAATTACCCACCATAGACTCCAGTCAGTCAAAATGACCGTTTTGAACTGTAGGCAGAGTCAGCACCGAAAGGGTAGCGTTTGGTCCAGCGGAAAGTGTTGCATAAGATACATGTATACTGTAGAATACTATATTTTCGCTTGGAATTTATTTTCGCTATTTTTGCTGAAGGGATGATTCCGTGAAAATAAAATCCAGTGAATATACTTTTTTTCCTATATTTCACATTAAACTCATGAAAAAATCAGTGAAAATAAATTCCAAGCAAAACGCCCAAAAAGCCTTTTCAGCGAAAATTAATTCCAGCGAAAATAAAGTATTCCACAGTACTCCACCCTTGGGCCTTAAGCGTTACCTCCTCTGCGGCTGACCAACGTCCGCCCATCAACACGGTCTGTGCGCACTTGCGCCCCACTCAGCACTCGGCCGGACACTCAGCACTCGGAGAGAGACATGTTTTGAATGCGAGCGATGCTTTCGTGTTTCTTCCTGCTTGCCGACCGAAGGGCCACAGTGGAGTCAGCTCGCTTCGACTGCATCTGATCTACCCGGCCTGCTAGGGACTCAATTTTCCCTGACAGTCTTTCAACCAAAACCCTCTCCCTCAGAGGCAAACCCGGCGCCGCATGTGGACAGATCCACAACAGGCCCCATAGGAGGAAAGACCTGCAGGGGCGAGACCGAAAAATATTGGTACCTCCACCATCGGGCCTCCTACTCGACGACTCAGTACACGAAGTACCGGTAGCAGAGCGCAAGGAATTTCCACTCAGGCCAACACGCAACTCACTTTTTACTGGACGCGCGACCTTACTGTGAAAATACGAGTGACACGGTCAGTCTCAGCAATTTTGCATGGCTCTGGAAAACTTCCCAGGCCTCAGAACTCCACTGAAAAACACACGCCTTCAAGGCAAAAACCCCAAACCCCGCACGCAGTCACTGCAAAAATAACATTTTGGATGCGGGTTCTATGCTGGTAAATTCTGATTATAACCACTGCACAGTTGTCTCGAAAAACGAGGGGAGACAAAACTGAACTTGATAAAGCATAAAATGAACATGACATGCATGAGGGAAGCGAAATATAGTTGGAAAAGGTGACGCAACGAAACCAATAAGTGGTTAAGTTACATCGCCGGGTTTTACTTTCTTTGTTGTGAAAAATGCTACACACAAGGGGGAAATCGACACAAGGGTAAAAATGACAAGGAAAACTTATCTTACCAGCTACAATGTTGGTTACCGTGGCCGCGGTAACAACCCAAGCCAGAAACCCGGACAGGAAAAAGCAGGCCTTCCAGGCAGAGCCACTAAATTTTCATCCCCGTAGGTGCGGAGATAAAAATAGAAGTGAATATCTGGCTATGATGGCGCTGCCACATGGCCCTGGTCACGTGGTTCATGACGTAAGAGAAAAAAATCTTGGGGTCATGGGGCTTCCCCTGACCTAGATTATATCTATCCATCACCGGCAGAATCGCTGATTAATGCCTACAGTTCAAAATAGTCATTTAGACTGACCGGAGTCTATGGTGGGTAATTGAATGTAGTGAATTGAAGAGTTTCAAAAAATCCGAACATTGTAGGATAAATAAATGTAATGAACAAGCTTGGAATCGACATAAGTTTTTATTTGTAAAAATAATTCAGTGAATATACAGAATTACACAGTGGGTGCTTCATGCCAGAATAAGACAACCTGAATGCATAAACCTTAACAAGCACCAAATGTGAATTCCAGAAAACACAAGCATGGTTAGTAAAAAGTAAATTCACATTAGGTAGTCATTGTGTTATGTACACTACCTCATCAGGGGTGTCAGGACTAGCGTCTTCAGTCGGCTGACAAGAATTAATAGAATAGCAAGTTAAGACACAAATGAACATAGTATAATTGTTTAGATGTGTCACATAAATGTATTGTACACACAATTATATCTGTTATCACAAACACATAATGCATATGTATACTATAAACTGCTTTAATTTGGCGAGTGAGAAACTTTCATGAATTCAGTGAAAATTACTCTCAGACTGGGTTCCCATGACACAAAGTGTCAGTGACTTTTACAGCATTCTGTCTTCATGAATCGGAACCATCAAACCCTGAATATTTCTAAAAGAATGAATTAAGCAGTTTACAGAGTATACAAACACAATTTTACCACACACTGAAGTACTCTCATGTAGTGACAACATTGACAAGCAACAGTAAAAAAAAAGAAATAAACAATTCATACAGAATACTAACTGTATTTTAACAAAACGTTGGATAGCGGAGTAAATCACAATATATTTACTGATAACAAAGGTGATACTATCACATATTAAAGCAATGACTTTAAATTTATGTTCATAAAAAGGGGTAAATACTATTATTGTTTAGTATGTATTTTTTATTCAAATGAAGTCTATGCTGAACAAAATGTTGTTATTAGATTAGTGGTAGAATGTGGTCATGATATTCTTTATTTAAACATCTCTAAAGAAGAAATTATCAAATCTCCATGGTAGAGAAGTAAGAATTGTACAAATAAATATTAAAACATTGGTAAGTAACTTCACTCACAGCCAGAAAAGAAAAGAAAATAATTCCATACGTCTGACGCCAGAAATGCACTATACCAATGAAATCCACTGCCAAATGCACTTTACATAAATGCACTCCATGCAAACTTGTACATTTCATACAAGATAGGACTCATTACCTTGTGTGGAACTGGGATGTCAATCACATGGTTGTCCTTGATCAATGGTTGATGTGGTCCTGGTGATGAATCCAATGGGGGAGTGACGTTATTAGGTTTAGTTGGATGTGACAAACCTTGCACTGATCCCCGAGGTGTTCCTTGTCCTAGTATAAAAGAAATAAAGTTAATACAAACTACATAATAAAACTATTTGTAGACAAGTGCACTAATAATTAAATAAAACTAGCACAAAATGCATAACTGCAGACTGTACTATACCTAACAGAAGCAATAGTCACAATAATATCACTGTGTTTAAATAATAATATCCCAATTTTGGTGCAACATTTTGTCTAATTTTACATAATTTTTTTCATTAATTTTGAATCAAATCAACTTTGATTTAATGTTAAATGGCTGAGATAGCTCCGCTGTTAGCAATGGACATTTCAAAAAAAAAACTGAAGAGATCATTAGAAAATTAACAAATCTGAGAGAGGTACCTACATGTATAACATCAATGCAATCAGACTTGCGATTATAATAAGAAGTTGAAATTATCACTTTTTAACAGAAATGACAAAATATTAATCAAAATTAGATAATTGAAAATATCATCACAAAATGAACAAATCTAAGAGAGGTCTGCCCAAGGTACATATACACCAAGTATCAAAGCAATAAAAAATGTAGTTTTCAAGAAGAAGTCGAAAAAGTAAAAAGTTGACACGAACGACGACAGACAATCACTCATATGAAGAGCTCTGCTTGACAAAGTCAACAGCGGAGCTAAAAATGTGTTTTATTTTGTGAAAGGTGACAAAAAAGATGAATACAGTAAACATATTTTTAACAATTTTTAAATACTGATTAACAGCTTTCATTCAAAATTCTATTAATTAATAGTAATTGGATCAAAAGCTACACTATACACTGTCTATAATGCTTCCAGTGACACAGCAACTGTGATCACCAACTTTTTCAAAATGAATGTAGATATTGGATAATATTGAACTCACTTTTCACTATTAATTATAACTAACTATGATGGCGAAATATCATTTCAAGATTAGTCACTCTCAATTCTAACAACCATTTTGATTATTAACAAAATTTGTATTTCTAAAATGTTCATAACAACCCCAGCTTTCTGCCCTTCACCGTAACATCAAAAATAGTTTTGATTTCAAATATGCAGTCTTGCATCTCACAAAAAAAAACAATATAGTTAATTATTGTGTTCTGAGCAAAATTGATTATTAATGTAACTGTGCTTCTATTAGAGCATGTACAGTATGCACTACCATCAATCAAGTTTAAAGTCAAAAAACAAGTTTTAGATCATACATCATAGGTATGATCAGGTCATGCAACAAGAACACAGTATGTGACAATTACTGTGATATTTCTGATGCAGTATTTATTGTACTGCAATAATCTTTTATTTTAGTCGTCTGGTGAAAATTAACAATACTTTATTTAGTGATGCAAGGTAGGAAAGTAACACTCTCCTATTGTTAGATTGTCCCTACTACAACCAGGGTAACCCTCTGAGCACCAAAGTCAGGCACCAATTATAGTCTGCTTTTTTCCACAGCAAATGTTGCGAAAATTTCCTATTTTTTCATCAAAATCTTGAAGTAATGTCACATTTAGTCTGTTCAATCCAGAATCAAGATTGCATTCAGTGAAAATTTGGTGCTCAAAGGATTACCATACGTGCAATATAATTGCTGAAATGTTATTAGTAATACACATCCATCTACAATCAGTTAGCATTCATAGTGAGAAGAGCATGACAAGACAATAAATTCAATCTTCCATCATGCCAAGACCTGCAGATATGAGGATTAGGAAAGGAACCTTTGGACTGGCCTCCTTCCGGAATTACAAGTACATTTGGTACATCTTGCACTGGAATGAAAGCTGGATTGGAGACACCATCAGAGGGCATAGTCTGTTGATCACCATTATTATCAGTGGGCAAAGCTCTCAAAGCATCAAGGACAGCTGCAAATGGAAAGCTTTTCATCTGTAGATTACCGATACTAAAAATTATTGCAGACTGAGGCAGTGAGCTTCACCAACAAATATGAATGGTTAGTAAATAGATACAATGGCATATAAATGAAGTAGTTAGTACAATGAAGACTAGGAAGGGACTAGAATGAAATAGTAATGAAATATAAGGCAGACAAAAATATAAATAATATATGGATGATAGAGAAGTAGACAAAAATTAAAGATAATATTGTCAGGGTGATTCAGAGTAGACAAAATTAAAGATAATATTGTCAGTGTTATGGAGAGTAGACAAAATAAAAAATGATATCGTCAGGGTGATGGAGAGTAGACAAAATTAAAGATGATATTCTCAGGGTGATGGAGAGTAGACAAAATTAAAGATGATATTGTCAGGGTGACGGAGAGTAGACAAAATTAAAGATGATATTGTCAGGGTGATGGAGAGTAGACAAAATTAAAAATGATATCGTCAGGGTGATAGAGAGTAGACAAAATTAAAAATGACATTGTCAGGGTGATGGAGAGTAGACAAAATTAAAAATGATATTGTCAGGGTGACGGAGAATAGACAAAATTAAAGATGATATTGTCAGGGTGATGGAGAGTAGACAAAATTATAAATGATATCGTCAGGGAGATGGAGAATAGACAAAATTAAAAATGATATTGTCAGGGTGATGGAGAATAGACAAAATTAAAAATGATATTGTCAGAGTGATGGAGAGTAGACAAAATTAAAAATGATATCGTCAGGGTGATGGAGAGTAGACAAAATTAAAAATGATATTGTCAGGGTGACGAAGAGTAGACAAAATTAAAAATGATATCGTCAGGGTGATGGAGAGTAGACAAAATTAAAGATGATATTG